TTCCAAGGCTTAGCAGTCCTGCTAAGCTATTCCAGTACTTCACTTCTGCTTCCCCTACCTGGACAGTAAGCTTTGTAGAAACACAGTCCACTCATTTTCCACCTTCACTGCCTGGGATAGCAGCTCACTGACCCCAAGTTGATGTCCTGATGTGTGTCAGATTTTAAAAATCACCTACAATTTCTCCTGACGTTCATCAACAACTGTATCCTCCCCTTCCCTTCTTTCTTTCTCCAAAATCAAAATCTCTGTTTTAAGCACAGAAACACAGCATCCATGGACTCAGCCCCCAGAGTTTCTCCAGGGCTTACTCTGGGCAGTGTGGGTGGAGAACTCTGTTGTGTGAAACCATCTTACACATGACAGTATGCTTAACATTCTGCATCCCCTAAAGTCAGGTTATACCCCCCCAATCAGTGAGCGAATTCAAAGAGCACTTCCGTACACCCCACTGAAGTGTGCAGGAAAGATGAAAATCACAGGCCTTGTAAAGCTTGGGCAGTTCATGAACGACAAGTATTCAAGAAAATCATTTGAAATGCAGGAGTTGGGTCAACTCCCAACCTCCTTCCAGTGCTGGGACACCATTCTTGCCAAGGATGGTGATAACTAGAAGCAAAGGGAATAGAGAGAATGTGTGTGTGTGTGTGTGTGTGTGTGTGTGTGTGTAAATGTTAAGGACAGTGGGGCTGGAGAGATAGCTCAGTGGCTAAGTGCCTGCATAGGCAAGCACAGGGACCAGGGTTCAATCCCTGGCACCATAGGTCACACCAGCCCCACCCTGGGGCTCACTGAACTGGCCTCTGAGATTGGGCATGGTGGTGCATACTGTAATCCTGGCGCTGAGGAAGCTGAAAACAGGAGGATGAAGTCCGAGCTGTGTAGCGAGACCCTGTACCAAATATATAATTTTTTTTAAATGTTAAGAACAGTGAGCAGATAAGTACTGCCAGCACAAGCCTTGCTCATAGCATTTACTACTTTCTCTTGCCAGGAGTTGACTCATTCACCGAATCATCTTTGAGACAAGCGGCAGCATTTCAAGGATGCTGGTGGCAGGCTCAGACTCCTGGGAAACGCATCTCAGACTTTTCTTTGCAAAGCCCACAAATGCAGGCATCAGAGAGCTGCAGCCCAAGGCAGCTTCTCAGCGGTGCTGTAGCAGAGAATGTCATATTTCATGTTATCATACTGTCCCTGAACAATCAAAAATGGGGGAGGATCAATTGATAGTTTCAGTGCTACTAATCAATACTTAGCTCATTATGGTTATCTGTGATCATAACAAGTATATTTGCAGGGGTAAGACATTTTATTGACCAGAAAACAATTTAAGAAATGCACTTGATCCACAGATGAGCTCATCCATAAATAAATAATTCAGCCAGGTGGGCAGCCACTTGAGACCAGGCACCTCCCAGCTAGAGATTGTCTTGACTTAGCTTTGTATGGAGGCCTGACTCTGCCCATTTGCTGCTGGTAAGTGAAAGAAAATTAGGCCCTCTATCTTGAAGTGATAGCAAACTCGGAGTGCTGGCCTGGCACACACTTACTCCCTTCCTGAATCCATTAAAAAGCATATTTGCCATGCTCAGAGAAGTTGTTCATGGAAAGCTGTCCTTCACAGGGGCATTGCAGGCTCAGTACCCCTTATCCGAAATAGCTGGGACCAGAAATTTTAGACTTTTACAATTTTTTAGATTTTTGCTATAGCTCCATATACATCATATATTTGGGAGAGGACCTGAGTCTAAACATGAAATTCATTTAAATTTCATGTAGATTTTAAAGATACACCCTGAAGGTAATTTTACAGACTTGTAAATAACTGTGTGAAGGCAACAACAAAGCTTCCTGCTCTGGCATTTTTGACTTGGGACATCATACTAACACTCAATAAGTGTCAGTTTGGATTAGGAATGCTCAGTCTGCAGTAGTTTAGGATTTGGAGTTTAAAAGTTCCTGCTAACTTTGGCTGTTACTCGGCCTTGCCAATTCTCAGACGCTTCATCTGTGAAATGGAGATTCTGTAGCACTCTGCACCCTGTTGCCCTGAGGCATGATGGAACGAGTGGTGCGCGTGAGCATTTCTGCTCTCTGGCCTTTTGCACACCTTCGAACATTTCACGCTAGGACTGAACAAACGCAAACTCATTTTTGAGGCAGGACATGCTTGACTCTTTCTTCCCTGGAGTGGCTCAAGGATGGGAACATAGAGAATAAACAGCAGGAGAGAAGACATGGAGGCTCCCCAGGGAGGGGATAATGGAGCAAAAACAGGGGGTAAGGGGCCAACCAAACCTTGAACTGGAAGATGAGTTAAGTTTTGCATTATCATCTTGACTCAGTGTCAAAAGGCTTTTTTTCTGTCTGGAAATGGACAGTGTCTCCACGCCAACTAAGGTTGCAAAGGACCACCAGCCAACCGTGTGGTTGCCAAGCCCAGCGTGGGTGAAGGCCCTTCCTCCTTAGTGGGAGCTCCAGCTCACTGCTTTTGCAAGGCAGTCTGAAAACTCGGTCACCCAAATTTGTGTGAGGGAAATGGAGAAATGGAATCAGAGGTCAGAGACCACAGCTTGGCAGAGTGGTCCTACGTCTGCAGAACCTAATAAGCAGACATGTGCATTTCCATGTCTTGATTAATAATCTAGAATTTATTTCTTTTCTGACTTCTTCCCTAATAATGCAGTTTATTTCATCTTATAAAATCATAGATTCACAGAGGCTTGGAAATTTTAAAATTGTTTTTTTCCTATGCATAGTTTAAACAGCTTTATTCTATGGGCAATCATCCAAGCTGCGTGTGGTGGAACACACTTGTTTTCCCACCATGCTGGGAGGTGGAGGCAGGAGGATCACAAGGGCGAGCCCAGCATGGGAAACAGTGGCTTAGTGAGACCCTGCCTAAAAAAAAGGCTTAGGATGGAGTTTAGTGCAAAGGCCCTGGGTTCAAATCCCAGTACCGGCAGGAACAAAAAGAATCTAAGTTTTTGTATTGAGTCTAAATTTTTGTATTGGGTTCAAGAAAGTCATTATTCCAACTGTGAAAGCTTTTTAAGGATTAATATTTGTGGAAACTCCTTACTCTGAACTTTTGTTTTAAGAATGGGCCAAACATAGTTAAAAACAGCCCAGGGTCTTTATTACCTTTAACATTTAAGCTTTTGTGAATAAAAGGAAGAGTTTTGAAGATTTTTTTTTCTCAAATATAGAAAAAACAAACATGAAAGAAAGTGAGGCAATTTTAAAATCCACCTTATAGAACATACATCTTTCTGAGGCTGCACGCTGTACTGATACAGAGTGAAGTCCAAGATATATTAGGGGGAAAATACTGTACAACTGTACTTGTACTATGATGCTAGATTAAAGCACTACTGAATGCACAAAAAAAATCCAAACTAACATACAACAAATTAGAACATTTACAACAAAATAGAACATTTGTTTTATCTGTGAAGGTTAGATTCGTAAGTGCATTATTGCTTTTTTTTTTTTATCTTTCATAGATCTTATTTGCACTTACAAGTTTTACAAGTATAATATAATTTATAATTAAAAATGGTTGTTTATATATTTAATAATCTGCCTTTTTTGCAATCCTGGAGATTGTACTGAGGGCCTTTGCACTGAGCAAGGGCCTTAGCCCTTATTTCAGGACAAGATCTTTTTAAGTTACTAATTTGTCCAGGCTAAAATGAAACTTATAGTCCTCCTGCCTCAGCCACTTAGAATTCTGGGATTATAGGTGTGTGCCACTTTTAAGTTTTTAATAAATATACTATTTATATAGAAAGATGTTTTTGAAAAAGATAGGCAGTCATGGGGCAGCTGCTAGGCTTCCATGAGTATGGCTTCTTCTCCTCTTTTGGAGCCAAGTTCTATTTGCTCTTTTGAGCCACACTGGCAGTCCTGAGCTTATCATTTTTCAAACAGGGAAAGGTTATTTGCATGCAAGGTACATGTATGGGAAATATTCATGTTCTCCCTGTATCTCAATTCCCACCTGACTCTCTCCATTGGACAGGATTAAAACAATGTTAAATGAAGTGTTTCCTTGAATTTTAAAAGGTTCCTTAAGCTGGTCTGCAAACGTAGGATGAATGACTTCTTATAAATAACATCCCAGATTAGGAAACCTAAAAATCCTCATCAGTCATCCTCAGAGAGGGAGGCAATAAACTGTTGTATTCATCAATTCTAAAACAACTTTATTGTGAGACACAGGTTTATTTTATGTATGACCAAGAAAGGATAAAACATTGCCAGGCTGACCAGGACCAGCCACCAGGCAAAAGATGAACCCTATCTTCAGATGTAAATACGAAGAAGTCCATCTTGAAATCAATAAAGTATGACAACCCTCTATAACTAAAAATCTAACATCTAACCCAGCACACTAGTTGATGAAGAGCCCTCCAGACTGCGTCATAGAACCCTACACATAAACAAAAGAATGCATATGCGTTTTTAGTAGCACACCTTTAGTTTATTGACCTACATAAAAAAATAGGTCTGAAAAAGTCAGAACAGTAAAAGAATATGCAAAAGGGTATTTCTGTTTCTAGAAGGCTATACAAATTATGCAAAAGGAATAAGTTATTTTTTTTGCGTGAGACTTTCTTTTTTCCAAAATTTTCCCCTCAGTTTCATTTCTAATGATACAAATGAGTAAGGACCAGTTTAACAAATCATTCTTATGTATATATTACATGCTTTGGAATACAGATAGAAAACGGTGTTCAAAAAAGTTGTTCAGAAACTTCTCTATTCATACTATGAACAAGAAACCTGTATAAAAGGGGGTGGGGCAAGGAGCACCTTTCATAGAATTTTGAAGCAGTGAAGACAACAAAGACCAATCCGGAAGAAGGAAACCATTTGTTCTAAAAAACAAACAAGAAAACAAAACTGTACAATAAACCATAGCTCATTAGTTCTTCCAAGGAAAGTATGAGGTAGTGTTAGCCTCATAATTCAATCCACTGCAGCTTGGAGTCTTTTTTCTTTTAATTCTAATCTTGTTTTTGTCACTTGATGACTCACAACTACTTGTGGAATCCAGACAAATAGGTTTAATTTTCTAATGCTCACCATTGTAAGGCACACAATGCATCTATAATGATGTGGCTTTGTACTGTTGTAGGCCCCTTTTTGTACCACCTTAAAATACTTTTCCAAAATCAAGATTATGACGGCTTTCCCCACCAACTCTACTAGATGAAACCAAGGCAGAGAGTGACCAGCCTGGGCAGCAGCTCATCATGCAAGAGATGGAGAAAGAAAGTAGGAGCTCAGGGATAAGGTACCCTGGAAGAGTCCCAGCAGAGTCTGTCCCTTACTCAGTGGGCTGCCTCACTGTTGCCAATCTGCTACCATAAAGTTATAGTACGGGATGCTACAGCAGTGAGTCGTTTAGAACCCACATGATGGTGCTTATGGAAAACATCACTCTTTATAATATGTACACTTAAAAACATGTACACTCACTCAAAACTTCATGAAAATCTGACTTCTCTTCAAGTAATTTTCCAATACTGTCTAAATCATCCAAGTCTGTGTAGAAAAAGCACGCCGTTCTTCACCAGCTCACGACTTCAACCTTGGTTGGGTGAGCCGTGACTCAGGAGCTTCTGGCTCCCCTTCTGCCATCACTGAATTGTGCTCTGAAGTTGCCCCCATCCTTCTTTCCATGGGACACCTTCCCTGAATGCACCTTCACAGTTCAGAGGTTTGCCTTTGACAATTTCCACTCCCCTCAAAAGTGCTTGCTACAGATAAGGGCTTCAAACTGAGCCCTCTCTTGACAGGGGTTCCTTGGTGTCAGGTTAGTGCCTGGAGTTGGAAGGCATGTCCTCATTCAGGGGCTCTTGGGGCTTAGTGTGCAGTTCCTTTTTGGACAATGGGAGTCGTCTCGGCAGCCTTGGATGCCGTCAGGGTCCTAAAGTGACAGCTTCCTCGGAAGACGAATATGTGTTGCAAGGCACACCAGTGTAAGAATGCAGCGTGGGGTCCGGAGGTCCAACTGCACTTCAGACTAATGTTCCAGGCTTTGAATCTTCATGCCAAAAGAGCCTCTGCTCACTACTCTCCAGCTCATCCTCCACCTGGCTTCCATCTGCACTGCTGTCCAGGTGTCTGGTCTCCGTGTACGGTCTATTAAAGAGAACCAGAGAAGTTACCACTTGTAGTGATTTTTGTTCCTACAGTACAAAAACTATGCTATTTCAAGAAGTTAGTAGAAAACACTGTTAGGACATTTTTCAAAACTTGAAGGAAAGCAAAAGGCAACAGAATGTTTTTCCCTCATCACACTGAAGCATTGTCGAACAGGCCTATAAAGGGACTATTTACCTCTCTGACGAGTGGTACCTTTGTTTAACTTACATTTACTTTTGGTTAGGACCTAGATTGTATGAAGTTACACGTTAACTTGTACTTTTTATTGGGAAGAAATACAAATAACTTCTGTCTAGTAGAGCAGATTATGGGTTATAGTTTTACTGCCTGTTGTGGGAAGGTTGCTGGCTTGGTACCTAATTAACAATCTTAGTCCGGCCTTCTCGCTTGTGTTGGCTTCAGTGCTCTCTGAACTAGCATAACCAACCTGCAAATTTCCTATATTAACAAGTGAAAAAAAATAGTCAACACATGTTCATTTCTAAATTTGTTTAAGTCATATTTTATACTTTTCCAGAAGTACATTTTGACAATTGTATTTTTATTCGTTGAATTAAAGTAATATGTGCTTTTCTTAGGGACAGTGGAATGTATTTAAAGACAGCATGGGCATCTAGGCATATATTTTACTTCCCAAGGGTTTATGGGTTAAATATAAATTGTCAGTGACTCAGAAAATTGTGGCATTTAAAAGTGATAGGCTGATATGGGTGGTATATTGAAATTCGTGCACCCTATTACAACCCATTCTGATATGCAAAACTGCACTGCTGTAATAGTAAGTTAAAATAGGTTAGCAAGTTAGTAGATTTCTGTTCTACTTTAAATTTCAAAGTTTTTTAGTAAAGGTGATTAAAAAGCCTTGGAAGGAGAGCTCTGGAAATGCACACTACATAAACCCAGGCTTTTTAGTGTTTTCATATAACATAAAAGTCTTATTTTACAACTTCGCATTATCAGTCAGAGCAAGCAAAACTCCTGCTAAGCAAGAAGCTGCACACAAATTCCAGGGACTGTACTTACTACAGCTGGCTACACTTAGCAAAAGAGAATTTACAACTGATCTCATTTCTGGAGAGACAGTCATTCTCCGGGACAGAAGCCCTTGGTTTTGCCTAGTAATAGGTAGAGTTAGATAGGGAACGGGAAAGGGGGTGGAAAACAGAAGTGAAAGAAAAAAGTTATTTGGAAACACAGTTGCAGCAACAGTAGAGCCAGCAATCTGACTCCATTATACACTTAACAGAGTAAGAGATTTTGACAGTTTTTTTTTTAACTTTTGAAAGTTTATGTCAACAATGAAAGAATACCAAATCATACAGGGATGCATTTTGCCCTGGATACTTTGGGGAAAGAATTTTTAAAGCATACACTGGATTTGTTTATAACAAAAACAAAAACAGAAAACAGCAATACATTTCTAAGCATTCAAACCTTTGGCTAAAGATTTTTAGCTTTATCTTGAAATTTATTTTGTTTCTTATTTTAAAAATCATGTTTTTATATAAGCAATTCATATTTTAAAGCAATTTTTAAAATTTTTTATGATGATGATTATTCACAACACTTTCCTTGTTAATAAATTAAGCTAAATTGATCAGATTATAACAATTAAAATCCTAAAAAAAGGAAATGGGTTTAAACAGATACTTCTACATCTTTGTAGCTGGGCGGATAGATCTCTCTCTTCAGAAGAGCTATAAAAGTATACTTTTCCTTTTTTAAAATGTATATAGTACAGGGTCTACAGGGTCTCACTACACTGATTGGACTCGTAGTGATCCTCCTGTTTTCAGCCTCCCAAGCGCTGGGATTACGGGTGTGCACCACCACACCCAGTCTCAATCTCCATCTCAGCACACCCTGAGGGTGGGGCCAGCACCTGGAGGATCAAACCCTGGTCTCTGCCCTGGCCCCTGTGTCTGTCTAAGCAGGTGCTTTAATCTGCTGAGCCAACTGGCCACCCTACAAAGTACACTTTTAAGCCATGGTATACACTTGTAATCCTAGCTACTTGGGAAGCTAAAATAGGAGGATCACAAGTTTGAGGCAAGCATGGACAAACTTAGTGAGATCCTGTCTCAAAATAAAAAATAAAAGTGGTCTATAGATGCAGCTCAGTGATAGAACACTTGCTTAGTGTAGACTTCTACTTTTGGAATGTATCCTAAGGAAATAACCTGGTATTCAGAAAAATATTTTTCACAAAGATGCTAATAGTAGCATTACTAAAAATTAAAAATAAAAAAGGAAGACCTAAAAATGACGAAGTGTTAAAAAACTAGGGTGCTTTTAAATAAAGTACAGCATATTTATTAGAGTATAACATTAGCCACATAAAATAAGGTTCAGAGAGTTTTAAAAAATACAAAAACATGCATTTGTTGTGATGTTAAGTTTAAGAAATGGGATGAGCTGGGAATGATGATGCAGGCCTATAATTCCAGTACTCAGGAGGCTAAGGCAGAAGGATCAGTACAAGTTCAAGGCTAGCCTGGATTACTATATGGTGAGTTCAAGAACAGCCTGGACTGGAACTGCATAGTGAGATCCTGCCTCAAAAAAGCAAAAGCAAAAGAAAGGAGAGAGAGAAATAAAAAAAGAAGTAAGATGTAGAATGATACATACAACATAAGAAGCCAAATTGTATTTATGAGACCATTATGACCAAGTTAAATATGGACACACAAAAGTGTGAAAATACACCAAATATTAGTAACTGCTATCTCTGGGAAGGGGACTTATGGCTACATTATTATTTTGTTCCTGTATTATTTTCCAAAATGAGTTGATCCATGTGTCCCCACGTATACATATTTAAATAGCTCCTGGTGCCTGAGAAATAGCTCAAAGGACTAAGCGCCTGCTTAGACAAGCTCAGGGATGGAGTCCGACCCCCCCTCCCCCAACACCACATGCTGCACCAGCCCTGCACCCAGGTGCGCTGAGCCAGCCACTAAATCCAGGTGTGGTGGCAGACGCCTATAACCCCAGTGCTGGGGATACTGAGACAGGAGGATCACTATGAGTCCGAGCTGAGTAGAGAGACCCTGTACCAAATAAATAAATAAATAAATAAATAAATAGCTCCTGATTGCCTACACTTCCTGTTGTCTCTGACTCCAGCCTTCCCTAGTGAGTGTTCTTGGGCGGCCTGAAATACATATGCAGAGTCAGTAAAAGCAGATTTTTCTCTAAAAATGTTTAGCACATTTATAGCTCAATAAAAGAAGAACTAAAGCTATTAGAACTGTCTTGTGCACTGAGTCAACAAAAAGGAAAGTCAAATGTGAAAAAAATTGTGAATGGAGCACACAGCATGACGAACTGCCCTGAAAAGATCCAGCCCCCATCTGAGGCTGGGCACTTGGGCCTGGCTGACTCCTTTTAAGCATTATCTGCAAGTCCAAGCCGCCTGACGCCCTGTGAATTTCACTTGCTCTAAACATCTATTTTGAGCACATCCTTTGTGGTGTTAAGACAATTGGCTCAATATTTCAAGCCAAGAAAAACTCTCCCTGAATGTGGATAAAAACAAAGTAAAAGGATTGCACATCTCCAATTAGTCTGCAACCCTGCATGTCTTAATAAGGCAGTGCTACTCCTTCCAGCTCACCGGTAGAGGCAGACGCCTTTATACGCTGTGCTCCGTGGAAGTCTCTGCCTGCAGAAACCTGACTTGGAGTCAGAGTGCTCCACTTCCTGGCATTGCGGTGTGGATTGCAGTTGATAAGAAAGTAAGGGAGAGCTAGCACCTCTTCAAACTTCCTTCCTCTTTTGCGTAAAAGGTAGTGAAAACATATAATTCAGTTTGTAATAATTTTTAAAATCCATTTTAACACATTATTCTTATGTGCTTGCTCTAATGTTTACCAAGAACTCCTTTCTAAGTGGGACAGCTGGCTGCTGCCTGTGACTTCTTAGCAAACAGGCCTGGCCGGAACAAGGCAGCAAGTGCTGAGGCCACGCTGACCACCTGTGTACAAGGAGCACTGCTACGAACGCCTGTGGGGGCTGTTTTCCCTGCAAGGCATTCTCAGTAATCTAGTTTCAAGTATGGTCTTAGAAAAAAAGCGATCAATTTTTAGACTCAGTATTTAATGTACAGATTCCAAGAAAAAGAACAAATTTGAACAGGATAGAAGTCAGCAAACTTGTTTTTTTTTAAGACAGGATCTCACTCTGTAGCCCAGGCTGGCCTTGATTTTTTTTTTTTTTTTTTTTTTTTTTGGTGGAACTGGGGATTGAACTCAGGCCCTTGCGTTTGCCAGTGTAGCGCTTATTCCACTGAGCCATCTCCCCAGCCCCAATTTTTTTTGTTTTTTAGGCTGGCCTTGAACTTGAGGTGATACTCCTGCCTCAGCCTCCTGAGTGCTGGGATTACAGGCTTGCACCACCACACATGAAAGTAAACTGGCCCTTTTTCTTAAAGGGCCAGATATTTTTGGCTTTGTTGGCTGCATGGTGTCTGAGACAACTATTTAGCTCTATCCACACAGTGGAAAAACTGCCATAGTTAACGTGTAAATGAATAAGGGTGGCTACTTTTCAATAAAGCTTTATTTATAAACAGCTGGGGTTAGCCTTTAGGCTCTGACTAATCAACCCCTGAGCTCTTAGTTCATGTTCAGAAAGCCCCCTGGAGGCTGCTGCACGGGGCAGGAGCCTATGTGAGCACAGCTTCTCACCTGCTCGGAGAGGGCAAAGCATTGTAGACGCTGCCGTAGCAGCTGGTGTAAGGGGAATGTGCGGGAGTCTCGTAGTCGGACAGCGCTACTGTCACTTGGCTCCTCCAGTTCCCAGAAGCATTTGTAGAAGACACTAGAAATAAAAATTTTAAGAAAGATCAATTAGTTGAAATGCTCAAAGTGGGAGCACTGTTTAAATTGCTACGTCATCTTGACATCTATCATGAACTGCTCAGAGCAGAGATGGAGAGCCCGGGTGTGGTTTTTGGTTCATGCCCTGGTGCTGGGGATCAAACCCAAGTCTTGCCTGTGCTAAGCCTCACCACTGGGCTACACCATCTGTCTAGGCAGGACTTGGAATTCCAGATTGGTGACCTAATGGCCATGTGGCCTGGGACAAATAGCTTCTTTCTTTTAAGCCTCGGTTTTTTCATCTGCTAAGTGAGGATGACAACAGAAATATATTCTACATAAGGATGAGAGCAGGAGTCAATGATATAATTATGAACATCTTTGGCACTGTGCCTAATACAGAGTAAACACTTAAGAAATGATAACCATTAATAATATCATTAAAAGGACTAAAGTTCATTAAAAGACAAAGCTATCAATTAAAAATAAAAAATAAAGGCCCAGGAACAATAACAATAAAAATCTCACGTACTGGGCCAGCCAAATAGCTCAGTGGATTAAAGTGCCTGCTTAGGCAGACACAGGGGCCAGTGTTTGATCCCTGACGTGCCATGCTGGGCCCCACCCTTAGGGTCCGCTGAGAGCAACTGAGACTCGGCATGGTGGCATCCATCTGCAATCCCAGCTCTTGAGAGGCTGAACCACAGGTGGGTCACTATGAGTCTGATCTATGTTGCGAGACCCTATACTAAAGTACAAACAAAACAAAACAAACCTCACATATTAAGGAATTTATGCACCCAGCCATGGAGGCTGAACACACAAAGCTCTGGTATGAGGGAGAAGATGAGTTTGAGGCTGTCAGAGGAAAAGCACCCCTCGCTTAACTTGTTGAGACTTGACTCTTCCTCAGCCAAAGGCAACACAGGCCACATGGAAGATGAAAGCATAGTTTTTCTTTTGCCCTCAACAAAGAGGGTGTAGGGATGGCAATGGGTGTTGGGAGGCGCTCAGGTAGGGGAGACATTGCTTCACTGAGGGGCGGAGCAGGAACCAGACAAGGGTACAACTGAGGAGCAAAGCCAGATGAAGTCCACGTCACTGGGAGTTTGCTGCCCTTTCTAAGAACCAGTCCGATTCCACACCTGCGACGTATAAAGTGGCCACAATGCCAAGACTCACTTCCTGCTGGCTTCCACTTCCTGCTCCCGGGCACTGACCTACTTCTCTCATACCCACCAAGCATCTGCCATCACCAGAGGACAAACATCTTAAGACTCATCTGTGGCCCTGCATGCCACATGTGTTTGACAGATGGAAGACTCACTCTGAGCTTCCAAGGATGTTCTGCAAGTCTAAGTGGAGGCTCTGATGATTAGTTAGGGCACGGATAGAAGCCCTATTCTATCACTCATAAGCTTGGAGCTTGGGTCATTTAAGCTCTCTAAGCCAGAGCTGCCGAGGCCAAAAGTATGAATAGTAATGACCCTCACAGTAGCATCACCACACCACAGAGCTGTTGCCTACTTCAAAAAGCTATCATGTGGCACAGGAAGCTGCCAAAAAGTCACAGTTGTTAACCACCACAGCTGAGTCACCAGGACAGCCTGGCTGGAAGAGTTACAAAAGCCCTGACTAATTTGGCAAATAATTGGAAATATATTTCTCCATGAGGAATACACACACCCATCATAATGTATTTCTGCACCTATAAAATGTAGACAAGGAAGGAGGAAAATTCCAGAAGGGATTTCTGGAAGCACTGACTCTATCCAACTCCTTAAGCACAGGAGCTCTTGCTGGGTACAGTGGTGCCTGCCTACAATCACTCTATTCTGGGTGGCTGAGACAGGAGGATGACAAGTTCAAACCCAACCTGGGCAACTCACCTACTTAAGTGAGACTCTGTCTTAAAATTAAAAAAAATACTAAAAGGCCTGGAAATATAGCTCAGTGCAAAGGCCCTAGGTTTAATCTCCAGTACCAGAAAAAAGCCACAGCAGCTCTAGGTTTGTGGGGCCAAAGCCTGGGGGTGTTAGCAAGCTTGGGCCAAGTCTGAACCAGGAGGTGTCAGTTCTGGCCTGTGCCCCAGACACTAAGCTGAGGTTCTCGCGGGACACCTGCACCTCCACAGGCGCTGCCCCTCCCTATGCCCTGATGACTGTCCACAACAGCTCCGCCTTCCTGTTTGCCTTTGTCCTTGTAGTGTTCTGCTTGGGCTCAGTCTGTGGTAGTTTTTCATGCAACACTCTGAATCTCACAAGGGATAAAGGTGTCCTCTAAATTAAGAGTCATAAATAACAAGAAATAACAGGAGCCCTTTCATGTTGTTCAATGTGGTCATACACAGAACAGCCCTAGCGGAAGTCCAAAGTCCTGCACAAACAAGGGACATGTCGAACCCAAATAGAAATCTCCATGGAAACGCCTCCTGTCAGCAGACTTTACAAAATGTTTAAAGGTACAGTTCAGGATGATTGTACTATGAATCCCCATACTATATCTCACTGAAGTGCCATGTTTAAGGGAGGTGGCAGGACTCATGGCCTCAGGTTTTCATGTGGTTGAATAGTTCATTTATTTCTTAGAACTTTAAAGCTTGCACAATGTCCACACATTCCACTGGAAGTGACAAGACCCTGAGCTCATGGGGGCCAGGAACTGCAGCAACACTGAGGCCTCGGCCCCTTCAGTGCCTGCTCATTTGCTGAATTTGTGAGCCCAGGCAGACCCTGCTCTAGCCCCCATTTCCTATGAAAAGACTGAGCACATGTAGGGTGGGCAGTGTGTAGCCCCCAAATGTCAGTGGAGGTAGCAGCCCAAGTCAATTCAAAGGGTATAAGGGAATAATAACACTGCTAATAAAATTGCCTCCAAAAAATCCTTACATCTACCATAAAGTAAAATTTACACGATTACTGAATTAAAATATACAATGTACTTAGAACGATGATTAACAAATGTCAACTCCCATCAAATTATATTAAATCTTATGCAGGTTCTGAAGCATTCAAAAGAGTCTTCTGGCTGACTCTTCCTGGTGACTGGGATGGATTTACGTATAATTCTAATATTCTCCGCTTACCCCAGGGGTTGACGCTAGTCTTTCAGAATATTAAATCTCAGTGACCCAAGCACATTTAAGAGCTGTAGCTATTAACATAAGACCTAAAAGGATAAAGCAGGAGAAAGCCTTAAAACAGAGCAATGTATGCAGTAGGTGCTCAGTAAATGTTTGTTAGTTACCCTTGAAGCTGCACCTTGCTTTATCTGCCCTGTGTTTTCAGAAATCTAGAGAGAACTTGTCAAGTTGGCCATACTGTGGTCCAACTGAATGGCTACTGCTCTTTGGGGCTTGGGTACAGGTTTCAGAATCCTGGGGAGGAGTAGACTGGGTGGGTGGCTGATGTAAACTAACTCTAGCTGTCATGTGCTTTCACAATCGCCTTACCTGAAGAGTACGAGGATGCTCTGCTGCTTGGAGAACAGGGGACCTGCAAACCGGCAAACCCTAGGCATCGCTGGGACCCTCTGTCAGAGTCAAAGCTAGTCTGTGGGCTGTGCCCCTGATCCTTCTGCCCAGAGGCCCGCTGGTACCAGCCACGCAGGTGCTCTGCAACTAAGGCCTTGTGGATGTTTTTGGTGATGTGCTCAGATTTCACGGTAGCCTTCCTGGGCAGCCGCAGAGTTGCATATGGGTTATGGGGCACGCGGTCCACCTCATCCTCATGGAAGGATCTGCTATAGTCCCTTGGGCGGTCGTATCCATAGTGAGCTGAGGATCTGTAGGAAGGATTGACACTGTAGTGTCCCTCTGTGTCATTCTCATAGATGTAGCCACCACTGTAGTAAAGGTCACACTCTGCGTACGGCGCATACCCCGAGATATAGTAACCACAAGAGGATGGCTCCTGACTCTTCGAGTAAACACCATTCCTCACGCTCTCCTTCTGTGCCAGGTTAGGCATGCTGCCTGAATTGGAAGCAGCGACATTCTGTTTCCTCGACCTCCTGCGCCCTCTGGCACGTGTATCCAGAGTCTGTGTGGTGTAATAGGGTGCGGCGGAGGCAGTGGGGGTCACACAGTAGTACTCCGTGCTGGACTGGCTGGTGTAGGAAGACCCGTCATCCAGGACCTCGGTGCTGCTGCTTCTTTGGGATTTAGACAGGGAGAAAAATGGCTTCTCGTCCATCTCCGCGAGCAGGCGGGACTGGGACTCCAGGCTCCCACTCCGCTGGCGGCAGTGCTGAGAGGCAGATTCTGGGCTGCAAGAGGAGAGAGGCCAGTGTGCATGTGAAAAGGGGGAAAGGGGAGCCTGGCAGGGGAAAGGAACCATGTCAGATGATTTCATGGCTGCTAAACTGCAAGAAGATTGCTTAAAGTTCTGGAGGCTGACAGTGTAAGAGAATCCCTGGGTCCACATAATGCTCTGGAGGCTCCTGAGTTCTTCACTGCAGTGGAAATGAGGAAGAACAAGGCGCTCCCAGGCATGCAAACCAAATCATTCCTGGAGGTCAGGGAAGACACAACAAAATGGTTTCTCTTGGCTACCTCAAAGCCTGAGAACACCATTGGCCATTTAGAGGGCCCATAAGGTAAATTAGGCTGAGTGCAGGTGCCATTGCAGGACCAAGCAGAGCACAGACCTTCGGTCCAGCGGTATCCCCACAAATCATGAATTTGCCAGTTGCCAGCTGTCTGATGTGGGGGAAGATTTCTCACTCATACATTCATTTTGTGGCACTAGTTGCTGAACCCAGGGCCTTGGCACTGTGCTACACCCCCAGCCATTCATTTATTTATTACTAAATGGCTAATGTGTCCAGGCTGGGATAGAACTGGCAAGCTTCCTGCCCTAGCCTCTCAACATGGTGTTATTATAGGTGCATAACACCATGTTCTTTTTGAGAGGGTCTTGCCATGTAGTCCAAGGTTGTCTTGAACTTGATATTTAATCCAGGCTGATATCAAATTTGCATTCTTTCTGGCTTAGCCTCCCAAGCGCTGGGATTGTAGGTGTTTGTAAGTCACCCTGGACAATTTGGGACAAGATATCCATCCTCTCAGAATGTTGCTTCCCTCTTTGTAAAATGAGACAAAAATAGTATGTACCTAACAATCACCTCACCATAGCGTTGTTATGGGGACTATGATAAGCATGTATGTATAAAACAGCACAGTATTCAGTAAACACATTGAACAACTGCTGTTGTTCCTTTTCATCCTCACCACTGAGTACTGAGTAGTTTTACCCAGTTGGGGAAATCACTAATGATCCAGTGTACAGCTGGACAAATGTACATGTCCTTTGCTGATCAATTTGAAGCTGTACATAAGCAGAAATTTACAAAATGTACATTTAAATGTACAAGTGGGTAAAAATAGACAGGGCTCTGTTACAAAAAAAATCTCTTAAAATGTTTTAAAAAACCAAAATAAAGCAATAAGAAATGCTCAAAGCAGAAATCAGGAGACCCAAAGCAGAAGGCAAGAAGCTCTTACTCCAAGTGGCTGCTGCTGTAGGCGTTGCGGGTGAGGATGGGTGTGGTGGGCATGCTCCGTCCGCCTTGGGGCCGCCTCTCCAGGGTTTTGTAAGGGCTGCTATGTGTTGACAGCATTTCTCTGTGATGATTAAAAAAAAAAAAAAAGAATTCAAGAAACAAAGTCTCCCAACATGTGGCAACCTTGTTAGCACCTATAAGAAAATTACTGGAAGCTGACAGAAAGGGTATGTAAGGAGAAAGATGCAAAAGGGGTCCTTGGGTTAGAATCCTGCTGAGTCCTAGATGAGTTTTAGGGGAAGCACCTGTTATCTGACTCTCTGGGTCATAAACACATAGGAAAAAAAATGAAAGACACTTACAAAATAATGAACTGAATAAAACACTGTAGGTTGAAAGCAACCAGACCAGCTGGCCAATCATTTATAAAAAACACTCAAATTGTAAATATTTTTGACCTTGAGAATCAGATGTTACTGTATCTACTACTACTCTGTCCTTGTCACAGGACAAAAGCAGCCATAGCTAATATGCAAGTGAATGTGAGTAGCTACTGTTCTAATAAAACTTTATTCATGGATACCACAATATTAATTTCATGTCATTTTCCCATGTCATCGATAGTATAGCTCTTGACCTCCCTCCCCAACTATTCAAAAATATAAAAACCAGTGTTAGATCATGGCTTATATGTGAACTGGTGGCACCATGGATTGTTGTCTGCTGCTCCTTTGAGTAGCAGCATCCTTAAATCCTTTTGTCCATGTACCAGCACAGTAAAAAGACAATTTAAGATTAATTTTTTTAAAAACAAAACTAAAGTAACTGCCCAAGGGGTTGATGGGGTGATTCCTTGGTAGAGCACATGCTTAGCAGAGATGAGGCTCTGGGTTCCATCCCCAGCACAGCCTCTCAACCCAAAAGAAACCTTCCAAATGAAATTTCACTTATTACAAAGGTAAGTCAAATTGATTACAGAAAAGTTCAAGATAAAAATTTAGGTGTCCATAATCTGATAACTCAGATATAATACTGTTTTCATATATTTTTGGAAGTATATATATTGACAAACATCTTATACATTTTTAATAAAAACTGAGATCTCACTGTATGTATAGTCCCTATCAATACTTCCTTAAAAATGTGTCCTTAATGTGTCATATTGCCTAATATTTGCCTGTGGTGTTATTTTAATGACTACACATCATCCCACTGGATGGTTTGTAACCATAATTTAGCTGAGCATTTAAGTTGTCTTCCACTTGTCACCGGTGTGAACAGCACCATGATGGGTATCCTGTCATTGGGCAATCAACGCAACAGCAAAGACTCCTATGAGCGAAAGCGCTGGGTCAAAGAGCAAATCCATCTTAAGCTTCTGGAGAAGTGGGTATAGTAATTTTTAAGATAACAATTCCCATTTATAATTCTTCTTTTGGCTGAAAGCAGCTTCGCTTTTCCTAGTCTAATAAGCACACTTGCTTGGTGTTCCTGGTAGGACTTTCTGCCAGGACTGAAACATCCCATTTCTGTGCTGCTTAGCACGACAGCCACAAGTCGCACTAGGCTCTTGAGTACTTGATACATGCTTAGAACAACCGGGAACTGAAAGTTAAACTGAATTGACTATTAATTAATTAATTAATTAATTTGGTACAGGGTCTCACTATGCAGCTAGGACTCACAGTGATCCTCCTGTCTCAGCCTCTCCAGGGCTGACATTACAGGCGTGCACCACCACACTTGGTTTTGGTGGCTGGCACTGCATGTCCTTCTGGGGCCAGCATGGCAAGCATTGCTGGGATCGAACCCAGGTCCTTGCACTTGCCAGGCAGGTGCTTAGACTGCTGAGCTATCTCCCAAGCCCTGACCTGACTTTTAATTAGATCAAATAGCATAGCACCAGTCCCTCATATCTCCACTGCTTCAGCCAAGAGTTCCTGGGTGCTGACTCATAAACCAGGCCTAATAGTGTGAGAAAATCTTCACTAGCCTTTGCCAAACTAGAAATATAAAATTACATGACATATTTTTGTAAGTCAAGTGATCTTTTATATTGAGATGAATTTACTGGCTGAAATGCTAGCACGGTATCTAAACTCCCATCAGGACTCTTGGAAACTACCTAGGTGTAAAGGCTGAGTCCTATGTTTAGTAGATGATGATTTTGATCTCTATGTATTCGTAGTACTAGCAGAAGGAATATCATCAGAGTTGCAGTGAGAATGGAATTCATTAATGTACATAAAAGTGCTTCTAACAGCGTCTGGCACCTAGTAAGCAGTCAATAAATGTGAATTTCATTTCATTATTATTATTATGACACTGATGCCAGTGGGTATATTTTTGATACTTCAGGATCATTTATTTCATTGATTCATGGTATTGTTGGTTTGAACAGTTCCACAAGGCACCTTTAGGAAGGGGTCTGGTGGGAGGAAGCTAGGCCACTTTTCATGAAAGGGAGGTGGGCTCCAGCCTCTTCCTGTCTTCTCACTGCCCAGCCCTCACATGGCCATGTCATGAAGCCCTGCCTTGTCACAGGCTCAAAGATGACACAGCCAACAGACCCTGGACTAAAACTGAAAATCTGGAACTGAGCCAAAATTAACATTTGTTCTTTATAAATTATTATAGATGTTTTGGAATACTAATGCAGAACTCGATAACACAATACTGAAATACAGATGATAATAATGTCCCTACAACTTCATAAACCAAACATACTTTAAAATCAAGAGAAGAGCCAAACACTGAATAAAAAAGACCTCTGAAAAAACATTTCCACTTGCTGGCAATGACAAATCTCTGGGTCAGTTTCTATGCCTCAGTTTTACAAAAGAATACCTTCTGAAAGGACAAAAAGGTGCTATCATTTGGGAGGGAAGATGCACTCACTGTGAGGCATTCGCCTCACCAAGACGCATCTCACCTGGAGTGCCTGGCGTCCCCCAGCTGCTCATTGATGGATGACTTTCTGAAATGGATCCGCTCGATACCAAGAGACTTGGGGGGGAGGATTCTTGGAGAGTGGGGTACTGAATTTGGTCGCTGCCCAGCAGGACTGAAGGCTTCACTGGCTAAAAAAGGCAAACAAATGGATGGAAAATGAGTAAATTAAAGCCTTGCCAGCATCTCAAAAAGAAATTGGAGGATCTAATGATGTGTTCTTCCAAAGACAATGTTTTCTGAACTCTTGATTTATTTTATTTTATTTTTTTTCCTTTTTGGAGGAACTAGGGATTGAACTCAGGCCCTTGTGCTTGCCAGGCAAGTGCTTATTCTACTGAGCCATTTCCCCGGCCCCCCAAAGATGTTGTTTTCTGAAACACATTGCTTTCCAGAAATTAGGTTTTGCATTTTATACATGAAATAAAGATATTACTGAATACTCTTCCAGGGTTAGAGGGAACTTTTGCCAGTTCAATAAGAAGGAGCTCCCTGGGTAATATGGGTGACACCATCTTTATAATGTTTAGGAAAGAAAATCCGAGTGCCAAAGGCCAAGAGTGACTAGGCAGATCATTTCTGTCCACCTGTGAAGTTCTTAGGTTAGGGTGCTACAGGCTCATCTTCACCAGAAATGACGAAGCTGGTTTATGCTGCACCACTCGACCTGCTAATTCTACCGCTGGTATGGCGTCTTCAAAGAGCAATGGCAAGCATGACCAAGCCTCCCCTCACAGGGAGAACTCTGAAAGGGCAGAATTTCATGCTCCATAAAACTCAGGGGAAGGCAGGGCAGTGGGGGGTGGGGAGGCGGAGGGTGGTGGCTTCCTGGAATTCTTCAAATCGCATCGCATAGTTCACCAGCTCAGCTGAGTAAGCATCAAAGACTACAAGGAAATACTGACTCACTTGGTATGAAAGCCATTCCCACAGGAAATGCAACCTACCTGGATGGAATGACAAAATGCCATGCAACCCAGTTTAGAGAACGAGATTTTCTTAAGGAAAATAAAATAAATTCCAACCTCTCCTGAAAACAGTGGTAATCAAAATTTATGGAATAGTTTCCTGGTTTTGATATGGACTCCAAATATGTAAGATATCACCATGAGAAAGTTAGGGGAAGGATTCTATGTTATTAGTGCAGGTCTCTGTGAGTTTATAGTTACTTTAAGGAGATTTTTTTTTTAAACTAGGCATGATAGCGTATGCCTATAAACCCAGTGCTTGAGTTCAAGCCCAGCCTGAGCAATTTGGCAAGTACCTGTTCTAAAAAAAAGTCTGTGGATGTAGCTCAGTAAGAAGGCCCAATGCCCAGTACCACACACATACAATTACAGAGCCTTAAAATTCTCACCAAGAGACTCAGGCTGTGGTTTTCTGATTCCCCGAAGTGATGCAACTTGGAAGCTCTTACTCTTCACACTGAGTTAAACTGAGAAGATGGTAAAGTATCTATCTCTTTTCCTAAACATTTTGCATAAGTGTAAGTTAGGTTACTCTGTTTTTCCCAGAAGAAAACCAGGTAAGCTGTACTTAAAATACTATCTTAGTATTTTAGAATACTTAAAATTTTTAAACTGAAAAAGAAGCTAGCACTTACCATCATCATAGGTGGTGTCAGACAAGGAGCTACTCTCTGATGGGATGATGTCCTCTGTGAATAAAAAATATAATTGTGCATTTACATCATGACAGTGAGTTAATGAAGCAATTTTCAATGGAGTGTACTTTATTTTCATTTAGATAAATGTAACTAATTACAGTACATTAAGAATAATAAACTGTGGCAAGGATGGACCCACTTGCCACTGAAGATAAAGCATCTTGCGAATTGCACATACATCACCATGGGACAGCGCCCTCAGTATCTGCAGCTGCCTGGCCCCAGCCCCCCTCAAGGCTGTGCACCGCCCTTGAGTGAGACAGCATTGGACTTGCGCATTGGACTTGTGCATTGGACTGACCACTTTAAATACTTTCTGACTACTTGTAACATCTGATACTATGTAAAGGCTTCCTAACTAGTTGTTATGCTGGTTGTTTAGAGAAGAACACAAAGAAAATCTGATGAGGAAGGCTGCTCCCCTCAAATATTTATTTATTTATTTGGTGGAACTGGGGATTGAACTCAGACCCTTGTGCTTGCCAGGGAAGCACTTATTCCACAGAGCCATCTCCCCAGTCCACCCCCCCAAATATTTTTGAACTGAGCTTGGTTAAATCTGTAGATGCAGAAGGCGAGGACACTAAGGGCTCACTGTACCCTTAAAATGGAAGAGATAGCCCTGGAGTTTTGGTTCTAAACTAATTTGCAGTGTTCCCTCTACACTGAAAGAAAACTTTGTCCTCTATGTTTACAGCACTTACAGCCAACAAACAGAAAGAAAAACCACACCATTCTTGTCATAAACGCAAAATGTCACCTGAAACCCATTTGGAGCCTCATTTGAAAATGAACTGTGAATACAGCTTGTTTTTGATTCCTCCTTAGAGAAAAGGGTCTTAAGCTAACAGCATGTACTCACGTTGTAGTGTCTGAGCCTTCCAGCGAGACCAGGCTTTCTCAGCAGTGGCACAACTGGCCCTTGGGAGTGATATTTCTTTGTGCTAGGGAGCTGTTTTATGCACTGTAGTAATAACCCCACCCTCAGTTTGTGCAAACTAAAAATGCCTGCAAATACTGTCAGATATTTCTGGACAACAAAACTGCCCCAAGTTGAAAACCACTGAATAGGAAGACCTGGTTGAAACACCGTGGTGCACACCTCTAGTTCCAGCTACTCAGGAGGCCGAAGCAGGAGGACTGAAAGGCTAACTAAGTCTAGCCTGGGCAACTTAGTGACATCTTGACTCAAAATAAGTAATAAAACAGGCTGGAAATGCAATTCAGTGGTAAGGCATTTGCCTAGTGCGTGCAAGGGCTTAGAGGTGCCAAGAGGGGTGAGGGGCCCTTGTTTCAGCCATTTATTGGCTGGGAGACTGTGCAGGTCACTTCATCTGAGCATCACTCAGCTCAGCCCTGAAGTGGGGAGGACCACAGCACCTATCAGAGAATGCTGAGGCGAAGCACTAAGCGAAATAATGACGGGAAGAGCCTGGCCCAGCTGCTGGCCCAAGACAAATGCTCAATAAATATCACCTCTTGCCTTACTTTTGTGATCAACCCTTAACCCTCTGGTTAGAAACAACATTCATAATGCTCTGAATATTCCTGGTTACAATATATATATATATATACATATATTATATATATGTATATATATATATATATATATATATATTTTTTTTTTTTTTTTAAATTTAGTACAGGGTCTACAGGATCTTACTATGTAGATCAGACTTGTAGCAATTCTCCTGTTTTCAGCCTCCCAAGCGCTGGGATTACAGGCAGTCGCCACCACACCCAGCCTTAATTGCTGTCTCAGCGTGCTCTGGGGGTGGGGCTGGCATGGCAGGTCTGCTGCACTGTGCCTAAGCAGGTGCTTTAGTCTGCCGAGTTATCTGGCTGGCCTAAATGTTAAGTAAGTAATGTACAGTATTTAGTAAAAGGAGGCATCCCAGATGTTGATAGGTCTTCACATACCACTCTCTGCTCAGTGTTGAAGGCCTTGGGTCAACGGCTCTATGCAAACATGACACCTAGTGTGAGCTTCCTAGCCATCAGGCCTGGGTGAACTATGTCTTCCTTAGACACACAGTGAAGGCTGAAGGCAAAGTGCCACAGTAGTCAGCTGCTGGGCACACTTAAAAAAATCTATCCCATATCTGCTCACATACTGGCTCCATCTGTTAATCCAAATGTCACTCACTGAAAAGGAGAGCACTAGAATCTTGCACAGTTTGTGGATGAATGAGCTATAACAAATGGCCGTGAATGTTAAGTGCACTGTTAATCGCTCATGCCTGTAGCCTGAGGATGTAATGTTGCCAAGGCCAGCTGGGGTGCATATTTAGAGCCAAAGCTCCCCAAAATTCTCCAGCTGTAGGTGACTAATACTTGTGTGCCAATATCTGTACATTCATTTTCCAAAAGCCATATCACTGAATTATAGATCTTGTGTCCTAAACTTGAGTGTATTCTAAACCCAGTTACCATATTTCTTCAAATCTAAGATGTGTAATTATTCTATGTTGCAGTAGAACAAGAAAAGTATGGCCAAAGATGATTGTAACACAACATCCGGTAAAAGAATTATGTCAATTTCATAATGTTGAAATGTGAAAGAAAAAATTTAGTCTAGAAATCAAAGATTATCACTATATTTTAATCAAAAACAAAGGCTAAAAACCATGCCAATATACAGGTAAGGCAAACTGCACTTAAGTTCTCCTTAAATGAAATCTCTTGGCTTGCTTTTATCTGAATATAAAAATTATGGTTACATGATATTGAGAATCTGAAAACTACAGAGGGGCATTAAGCAAATTAAGTTACTTAAACTCGACAGCTACTAGTGTTTTGAAATACTTCTCAGAGTTGGATCACACTGTGGTTATGATGATACATTTTGCCTCTCTGTAGTCCATGTTATATCATAACCATTTATCCATATCTTTATTTTTTAAGAGTAAGAAAATTTACTGGAGAAAACAAATGTGGAGAAGGAATGGCAGACTAGGGAATAGGAAGAAATAGCTCCCAAGAGAGAGAAGGGTTCCAAATGGGTTGTCAATGAGCCCACTTCTCAAAAGGAATTTTATAGATCAAAGTCATGAGGCAGGTACAAAAGGGGTCAAAATGATGACCGAGCAATAAGATTGCCAGTATAGTTGCTTAGATAATATTGATCTAATGGTAGCAAGATTACATGAGTGATGTCATTAACTTTGATCGATAATCAATAGTCAGTTTTGTCTTCAGTCAGTCTTAGTGGGTCGGAAAGGATGGCCATCCCTAATGAAACAATGGAAATCTCAAAAGGGTGAAAACACTAATCCCAAGTCTCTGTTCATCCATTAGGGAAATATGTAAAAGTAGCTACTGTCACTTGAATCTTCAGATATGCCTCCAGCCACAGTCGTGGTGCATTTCCCTGTCCCCCACTGACTCCCAGAGGGCCTGGCCCTGGCTGCCTGACTGCCTGCTATATTTCTGCCTAACTTAGCTCTCCATAGACTTCCTATCCATACCATTAGTTTAACAGCTTCCTTAAGTGACAGCAATTTTAAGAGCTTGCCCCTATTCATATGGAAGGTTAAGCCTGTAGTCTTCTTTATCAACACAGGGATAAACCCTTAGGAAAACGCAAGACCGCTGCATTAAAAACCTTCACCAACTATTGGAGCAGGCTCAGCTCTCTCCACATGCAGTGCCAATTGTATTTTTGGCAATGCCTTTAACCCAGTTAAAGGTGAGTCTGTCTTATTATGAATAATTATTGCTGTGAAAGTGCTTCCATCCTGAAAATTAAAGTAACCCAGCAGTGTAGTATTATAATAGTGAAACTGATAATTAAGTTTACATACTTACAAGACTGAAATTCCAAACCATTATTATCCTAAGAAACTTACTTTTCATCCTTTTCTTTCTTCTATCTTTCATCAAATGAGCAGGCTTAGAAATAGCACATGCTGTCGTCAAGAGCACTGACAAGGGCACTCAAAGAAATCTTAACTGTTTATTAACTTGGTAAATACCTGCTTTCTGGCTGGGTTTCTTTCCACATCGAATTCGATATTCATTTATTGCATTTTCAATCTCCTGGAGCTTTTTCACTGCATCCATGTAATCTTGCTTTCGTTTTTTCTTCACAGTTTTACAAAGGTCTGGCTCACTGGCAAGTTTCTTTGCAGCTTCCACCAGCTTTTGCTGTATTAGAAAATTGCTCTCCAGTTCTTGCAAAGCTGGGTCCTGCATTTACACAATGACACTTCTTTACTCTTACAGTTACTCTCTCAGGTACTGGACAACAAAATTTTTTGTGTATTCTTGAATCAGATGCTCTTTGAGAATGAAGTCTTTCTAAGTTCTAACACAGAGATGTAAGATTAGACAGTCCTTGCCCATCTTAACTTGAACTTTTCATCACCCCAATCTCTGCCTTTCTTAAGGAAGAAAGTGACCTTTCACCTGTGCCGTTATCCTTAAGACTCATGGGTATAGACTGCTGCGTTGATAAGCGCAGCATCAGAGATGAATCTGGGGTGGAGTCTCTTTCTGACACTACATATAGTGCTTAATTTTTTAGTGCTGCAGTGTTTTATTTGTAAAGGGGAGATAGCACCCACCTTAGCACAGGTGCTGAGGACTGCACAGGCACACAGGCGAGCGTTCAGCCTAACAAACCTCACTCTGGTACCAGCGGACACAGCTACGGTTTTCTAAAGCCAAGATGGTAACGTTGCTACAAGAGCATGTGTTCATTCATATTGGCAAATTGGCTGTCAAAGCATTTAACTACATTCTACTAACCAGTGCACATGTGCTATAGCAGTTAATGGTCAGCATATCCCTTGTGGGGAGGTTACACCCCTATTCCCATTTTACAGATGGGAAAACCAAAACCTCAGAAATAGAACTTTAGAGAGACTAAGCTGTTTGCAAAAGGCTACTGAGTTATAAGTAAAGGAATCAGGATGGCGTTCTTAATTCAATAGTACTTACAATAGTATTTACAGTATTATTTTTCAGCTTACAAACATTTGGTGTTCATTTAATGCTCTGTGACCTGGGGAGTGACATCTCTGTCGTGTGGTGCACAGAAAGGCTACGAGCCAGTGCTCATACCTCTTCACTTGGCAGCAAGTTGTCATCTAACTTGAATGCGGTCCCCACGCGCCTCCTGACCTGAGGGGGCTTCTCGCCGGCCTTGAGCGGATACTCCTTTGGCATTTTGCCGGTGAGCTCCTGCAAAACAGGACAGGGTCAGGAGCTCGTAACCACACAAGCTGCAGAGCCCAGCAGCGAGGACACTCACGGCCTCACGCAGACAGATCTTCTTCAGCTCCTCGACTTTTTTCAGGAGTTTTTCTTGTAACGCTTTCTCCTTCTTCTTGAGCTCCAGGATCTTCTCCCGCTTTTGCTCTTCACTGACTTCTGAGTCTTGAGAACCTGCTGGGGTGGAGGGGCGGGAGATTTACACAAAGCCTGCTTCCTTCCTTTGGGACAAAGGACTGTGAAGCTAAACGTACCATTAAGTGCTAGTTTACCTTTTTCCTCCTTGTTTCTGAAATAATAAAAGGAAACCAGAGAACATTTTCTCATGCTTCTGGGCATCAAATAGAGAATGGTAAGAAAATGAACCTTCCATGTGCATTTTGGCTTGGCCATGTTGGAAGTGAGGACAAAACGCTTTTGGTGCCAAGGACTGAACCCAGGGCTTCCAGCTTGCTAGGCAAGCATTCTACCACTCAGCCAAATCTCCTGCCCTTATTCCCAGAATAATTGGTTAAAATATATTTAAAATGACTTAGGACCCAAAAAACAAGGCTGTGCATTCTTTCTAATGCTATGATGTTACCTGAGGATATTAAGCTGCCGTTGCTGGCCATGATGAACTGACTTTTGCCCTCCAGCGTCACCAGTTTAGACACCCTTTGCGTTCCTGTCTCTGTCAGATCCATCGCGATATCGTCTAAACTCCTGGCTGAAGGAATTTTTGCCTGTGATGCAAACAGTATTGAAATGGAATCAGAGCAATTAAATACTCTTTGCATTTATGACATGATTAACATTCAGCTGACACTCCAACCAAAAAACAGGAGACTTAAACTTTGTATCTAAAATGTTTTCATAATTAAACAAAACTCTAGGCGTGATTCAGTCCCTATCTTTAAAATGCCACTGATGTACACAGATATGCATGCCAATCTTATAACTTTTACATCCGCTATATATACATTGGCTGTCTTTTAATGCATGAAAAAGTGAAACAGTTGGCAGTGAAGTTTTAAAAAAAAAAATCCTCAGAGAACAACAATCTATGTACTTGTATGTTTTCTAAAAAGGCTTATCTTCTAGAATAAAGCAAAAGAAGGCCCGGGGCCTGCTGGGGTGGAAATGCTTTCGGCGCCTTACTTTGCTCTGCTTCCGGTCCAGGTAAAACTGATGCTGGCTGATGGCCATTACCCAGATGGACTTGATGAGGGACGAGCTTGCATACCAGGTTTGCACAAAAAGGCCGCTCTGCCCGAAGCTTCTTCTAGACACTGAAATCCTGAAAGATGACGGGAAATACTCAAAGTCCTCGGCTATGCTCCCAGCCCTCATGTACCCATGAGCAATGTGGTGACAAAGCACCTTCTTCCTGCCTTTCTGTAGTGCATGCTTAGGTGGACCGTGGCTGAATTTCTGATTTTATTCTTTAATGATAAAACTACTCAGACCTTGGCAATCTCTTTTTGCACACACTAGCACACTATAAAACACTACCCATGCACTCAAAAGCAGATAAGGAAAAGCTGTATAAAAATGTTTACTAGTTAGAAACCATAAAAGCATGCGACCACCTTTGGCAGTAGAAAATGGAGTGAGTGGGACCCCTGGGTGACACCTGCCTCAAGGTAGGAAAAGCTTACTTTTCAGGTCAAAGTGGGTGTGGCCTGCACTGGCACTATCAAGGATGAACAGTGACAGTGGCTGAAAAGGCACAAACCACAGACGGCCCAGAGGTTCACCTTACCAGATGAAGAGGACAGAAGGTATGTGGAGGGAGGTCAGCAGGAGGGGCCAGGGAAATAGCTCAGTAGAATAAGCACCTGCTTGGCCAGAGCAAGGGCCTGACTTCAATCCCCAGTTCACAAAAGTAAATACATAAATAAATAAATAAAATAGCGAAGAAAGCAAGAGAGCACAGGAATGGGGGAGAGAGAGAGGGACTGGAGATGGGGGCAGGCACACTGGGGTGTGTGTGTAAGAAAGGGCAGGGGCACTAATGCTTTTGTAAGCCTCTGGCTTATCTGCTTGGGTCATCTTTTGTTACAGCTGTTTCCTCCCATCCCTCTGCCCTGCCCTGCCCTCCAAATGTCCATAAACGTTATCTGGGAAGAGAAAAGTAACCCCTGTGGACTGAATATGCTCCTTTAAGAGCTTGGAGAACTTATATCCTGATCTCTGAGTCATGTTGATAACTTGGCAACTGTTTCCTTTGTCTTTAAATGGCCAAGAATACCAAAATTATAATTGAGCAAAAGAGCCCACTGTGGTGGAGCAGGCTTAATTCCCAGCAGTCTGGGAGGGTGAGGCAGGACAGTCACAAGTTCAAGGCCAGCCTGGGCAACCTGAATGCTGTCTCCCAAAGAGGGCAGGTGGGGGTACTGCTCAGTATGAAGGACCTGGGTTCAGTTCCCCTAAAAGGAAAGAAAGGCAGAGAAAGAAAGAAAAAAAGAAAGAAAGATAGAAAGACAAGACAAGACCCAGAAAACAGAGTAAAGATCTGAATAGATACGTCTCTAAACAGGTTATAGCAATGAGCAATATGCCCATAAAAAGAGGTTTGGTCATCATTATTGGTCATCATTAGTCTTTTTTTTTTAAACTGGGAATCAAACTCAGGACCTTGCACTTGTCAGGCAGGCTCTTGGGCTCCTGAGCTATCTCCCTAGCCCCATCATTAGTCTTGAGCAAAATGTAGATCAAAACACCAGGAGGAAACCACTTCACACTGTTAGGATGGCTATAAAACATAAACACACACACACACACACACACACACACACACACACACACACCAGCAAGGATTAGTGATGATGTGGAGAACTTAGAACCACATACGTTGCTAGTGGAAGTGTAAAGTCACTTAGTGCTTTAGAAAAGTCTGGCAGCTCCCATGTAAGTTAAAGACATTTAACTGCCATTCAGCTCCAAAAGTCCACTTCTAGGTATGGTGCAGACCCAAGAGAAATGAAAGCATGTATTCATGCATATAACAACCCATGTACAAATGTTTATAACAGCATATTCATAGGTGACTGAGACCGTTCTGACCCTTACCTTCGTGGATCGTGAACCTCAACAGCAAATTTTTTCTCACGAAAATATAAGTTCTCCAGCTGCTTCCATTGGAATAACTAAAATATTAAAGAAATGAGAAAACCACATAGCTTTAATAGCTCTTATTTCTACCAACTCTATAAATCAGCTTAATAATCAAATGATTTTAAGTTCCCACGAGGGATAAGGTTAAGCACAAAACATGATTCATCTTTTTACAAATCAGCTATAACCTGAAACCATTTTATTCCTTCTGCTGACAGTAATCTTTAACAACTGCACTTCACCAATAAATCTTCCTTGAACGTTGAAACCAAGCATCACATACATACAATATTTCCTCTGACTCAACTATATAATAAGGATATCTGCATAGATTCCAGTAAGCATAAGCATTCTGATCAAAGATGTTGATTTCATATTTAAATGCAAGATACTCAAAGGGATGGTGTAGTAAGATCAGAGATTAAATTTCAAACAAATGCAAAGTGAAAGTAAAAGAAAACCCCCATGCTGAGGTGAATATCTGAGACAGCGGTTTCTCACCTAGCAAAGTGCCTGTAAATGTCACGCAAGTCAAGCGCCAGGAATTGGGGGTGGGGGTGCTGAGCAGGGATGGGCTGAACACGAGCGGCCCCTCTGATGCCCACCTATGTATTACCACTTCAGATATTCTGCTGCTAGACTCAACACAGATTATCATTTGGTTGGGAGAAACAAACTTTACAAGAGACGTGCACTTGAGAGGCAAGTAGTTTGCTCCAAGCTCATTCACAGAATTGAGTATGCTTGCTATATTTTCGGGGCTTGTACCTAAATCCTTATACTACCACCCTGCGCTAGCCTGACACTTACACAAAGCTCTCAGCATGGACTTTAGAGTCAGTGTCTCTTCTGTGTCCCCAGTCCTGACAATTAGGGAAATATGCACTGGCACAATTTCATTCCATTGTTAAGTCTCTGGTCAGATTTTTAAATTATGTTCAAAGAATCTCAAGAGAACACTTTTAATTTGTCTAACTAGTAAGAACCTCTCGGCAACGCACAATAGGCAAGAGCATTTCCTGGAGGACGGGAACCCAGACGCCTCACAGACATGCAAAGCTCATGGAAAAGAACAGAGTAGCCCAAAGGTTCCCAGTGTGGACAGACACAGCCAGGGGACAAAAGTGCTCAGCGCAGACCCCTGCGGACCCCAGGTCCTACAGTGAGGGAAACGAATCCGCACACACCATGAACACAGCCCTCCGTGGCTCCCGCGTGTGGGTGTCTGAACTGCAGCACCCGGTTCACAGAGCGATTAGGGAAAGCATAGAAGCTACGTACCGATTTCCTACAAGGTCTGTAGATGGAAGGCTTTCATTTCTTTAAATCCAGAAATTCCACACATGGAACAGAAATGGGAGGGGAGAGTCTCAGGGTTTTCTCCACCTCCCCCTCTCTTGGGCAGCAACTCTGGTGTGCTCTGAATCGAGTTTCATAAGACACTTAGGTGTAACTCAATTTCACAAACCGAGCCTCCCACGGCTGATACACCACTGACATCAGCAACTCTGGCAGGTGACACCTCTCGGTCTGCTCCTTCCTCTCAGGCAGGAGAAGAGAGCAAAGTTCTTGCCGAGAGATTTTCCCAGAGGAGAGCCTTTTGGCAAGTGGGGGAGGGGGAGGGGCGCCCACTATCCTTCCAGGGCAGTAAGTTCCTTTGAATCCAGGCACGAACTTCACTGCACGCTGTTCTGGGGAAACCTTTCTACCCAGTTCTACTCACGGCTGCAGGAACAGGTTTCACAGGAAGAGTCAGAAGGCAGCTCAGCTGTGTTTTCCTTTGCGGCCATTCCCACACACATAAAAACCAGGGCTCCACTTGAAACCCGATCCCTGAAAGCAGCCACCTCCCCCTCTTATCACTTACAAATAGGAAATACTAGTACTTTGGCTCCATTCCACATGCCCCACGCTAGGAGAAACCAGGCCCCGGCAGGCAGTCAAAGACTGCACGGAAAGGGTGAAGAATTGTGACTTTTGTAGAGAACTTGGAATAATCAGGTGACACCTGCATGTGCAAAAGAAGTCGTCGGTTTTTTAAGATTTCAAAGACCTAGTCATTTGTTTTCCACCTGAAATCTTAAAAAGTTTATGCAAAATGTGATTTCAGGTTTGTACCAGTGACGGGACTGGAGGGTGACTGTGTGAGAAGTGGGACAGAATGCATCAGTGTCACCAAAGTAATTTCCTATTAATAAAAATAAGACGAAATCAATTTGACCAAGTAGAAGTAACTGTCAGTTTTGCAGTGGTTTTGTACATATTATTATAGTCTTGGTACTTGTCTGCATTTATTACTCAAAATTAAAATAATGGAAGTTTGCGTAAAATGAACATAAATTTTCACAAGGGTAAGATTCCCACCTCAAATTTCAGAGTGTACTTTACCAGGGCCTTCACACTGAGCTACATACCAGGGCTTTATCATTTTTTATTTTGAGACAGATTCTCACTAAATCACTCAGGCTGGACTGGAACTTGTGATCTTCCTATGTCTGCCTTCCAGAGTGCTGGGATTACAGACATGTGCCACACCTGTGATTTTGATCTAAGTTTTCAGTTGCTACAAAAAACCCTCTCATTGTAGCAACGCTTGATCTAAGTGGATAAACTTCGGAAATTGGGAATAAAGCAGAGGAAAGGGAAACCCATCTTTTAAAGGATCCTGGGTTTGAACACAATAGGAAAGTGAAGAACACTGCCTTCCCTTCTGCCAGTGCTCAACTGAAAGGATAAATCAGAGGTCCCCTTAGGTCAAAATCATGTGGTGATTTCAGACCAAAGAAAAGAGAAAAAAAAAAAAAAAAACTGTTTAAAGAAACAGCCATCAGGAAACTGAACTTGTGGGAGGCACTGCTTTAGAAAAGCCTGCCATACAACAAATACTCTAAATTACTGGAAAGATAAAGTTGCAAAGAAAGAGGAAAGCGATAAAGCACAAAGGGAGGCAGAAGGAAGTAGAGCCCACTTCACATTCTCTATTCTCTGGAGAGCAGTTGGGCAGGGTGGGAATGGTGTAAGGGATGGTATGGTCTAGAATACTTTACATACGCAGGTGTGGATATACAAACACTTACAGTTTTCCTATTAAAACAGAAAAACATTTGTCCAGGCCAAAATTCCTACTTTTAAAAATGGAAAACAAAGCTTTTATATAGAGAGAGGTGAGGAGGGCTTAATGGAAGGCTATGGAATGGGGAAAAGACACATCATGTACAGGTACAAGTTCCCTATGATGAATGTGATCATTATGTGAAGCTTAAAATGTAACAATAAATTTAATTAATTTTTTAAAATTCCTAATTTTTTTCTTTCTGATGAAGATTAAACCCAGATAGCATGAACTACATTCCTGGCACCTTTTTATTCTGAGACAGGGTTTCAGTTGACCAGGTTCTCTACAAATCTAGTGATTCTCCTGCTGCAGCCTTGCAAGTAGCCAAAAATCCCACTTAAAGAATGGAAAACAAAAGAAAAGAATTATTCACCTTATAACAAAGTTAAAAGTCCAAAGTGGAAAAATTTTCTCAAATGACCATTATAGAAGCATTTTAATAATCAGTCATTGTTTTTGAGGCATTCCTTAGAAGATATGAGTTTGAGAATCTGCTTCTGGCAATGGGAACCAGCTATAAGGTGAAAACCTGTAGGGTCTTCAGGTTTCTGTCTCCTCTCCACCCATCTAGGATGCTTAGTTGCAGCCTTTAGTATGGGGAGAAAGAAACAATAGCCACAGACAGCGACAGAAAGCAAATAGCAATTTGGGATTACTTTGATATGGCAAAAGTAAATAGACAAAATAGAGGAGGAGGAGCAGAGATATTGCTAGCCAAGAGCTAATCAAGAAATTACAGTGTAGAGTGGATGTCGTAAAGTCATTAATCAGCCATTCTTGAGAAAATAGCCAAAAATTTAAGATTGATGTAGAAAACCAAGGTGGAACAAAACCCTACTTTGAAGATGAACTTAGGTAAAATATAGTAATCAGAAGAAATTTTCTTCATCCTTAGAAGGTAAGACCAATTGATATTTTTAGAATAATTTCCCACACATTATTATACTTTCTTAAATGGATGTGCTAGATATTTAAACTAGATATTAAATATTGGATTGCATTCACTGACACAATCAAATCATATGTTTTGACTTACAAACTAGGAAAAAATTCTTCTCGTCACTCCCATTTTTTTTTTTTTTTTCTGGTACCAGGGATTGAACCTTAGCACAAGGTACTCAGGACCTTGTGCTAGCCAGGCAAGCGCTTATTTTCCTGAGCTATTTCCCCGGCTCCCTTGCCACTCCCATTCTAATATTACAATAGTTCCTGAACATTTAAGCCTACTGTGAAATCTAAAGGTATTTACAATTTTTTTTTTAAGGTACTGGGGATCGAACTCAGGACCTTCACTTGCTAGGCAGGTGCTTATGCTGCGGAGCAATCTTCTTGGCCCTAAGGATATATATATATTTACTCCTTTTCAATCAGCAGACAATTTTTTATGCATCTTCAACAGTGAGAGTCTGTTCCTACTGTACAATAATGCACGAGTCTCTTCTCTGGTGGGGCCCATGGGACCAGGGGAACCATATCACACTGTCTAGGTTTGCACCTGATTTCAGTACTTGCAGATGTGCTGTCTGGCAAGTTAATGTTCCTGAGCCTCCATGACCTCATCTATAAAATGGGTCAGGAAGACCTACCTCAGAGGAAGTCAGGTACATCTGTGAGATTCTGTCTGTAAAGTAGCTGGCCCAGCTCCTGGCTCAAAACACACTCTCGCTCAGTGGTAAAGCTGGTTGTGTGTGGGAGGAAGGACTCTTTCTCCACATCTCTCACTTTGCCACCTATCAGACAGCCACTGGAGAGCAGAAATGAGCTCAGAAGGGCTGGCTGGGACCTTACATCTGCCTCCCACTGCTGAGAAGCAGCCGAGGTCTCTGTTGACCTAGCTGTGTCACTCAGTCTCCCATTCTGGCAGTTTCGGGCTCTGTACCAGCCCAGTGCCCTGTTTGGTGATTTCATCAGTGATTT